ATCAATCTCCTTGCAGGCTCACAGGTTCCTATCCAGAGCTGCCCCTCTGTTCTAGGGACATCCATCCCACCCTACTTGACTTTCAGTTTCCTCTGCCTCTACCTTCACACGGCTCTGACATCCAGAGACAGATGTCACCTCCCTGCCCCCCATACACACACCTGACCCTCAAGTCTTCCCGCTTTTCCTCTTCTTATCTAGGCCACCATCGCGTAGGCTCCCATGTTCCCATCCAGAGACACCCTACCTGACCTTCAATTCTTCCTGCTTTCCCCCTTTTCCACCTGGGTCAAAAGGAGGGGCTCTCAGCCACTGCAAGACAGAAAACTCCTGGTCTTCCGCCCTGCCTTCTCACCCACTGCCCTCAAGGAACCCTGCAGGCCGCATATCTGCAACCTTTTGGAGGCGGCATTGAGTCCCTTCCCTTGCAGAAAACACGCAAGGTTCTTGGGACTGTCTTCCTGTGCCAGATTTGTCTCTGTTTAGCCTGCATTGAAGACCTACCTGTGGCACCTTGAGCATGACCAGAAGAGCCACTCTGACTTGTGCCAGGGTCCTTTGGGCCCTCAGCAGCTCTGGTCACTCTGAGAAAGTCACAGTCTTTGATCACTTGGTCACAATGATTCCTACTTCTTCACGTCTCCAACCCCGTAACAGCCATGCTGACCTTGGCAACCTCTCCCACTCAGACCTCCCACTCCTGTCCTTCCACATGGTCACCCTGGGTGGAAGTACAGAGCTATGTAGGGTCAGGGTCATTGTGTTCTGGGAACTGCAGTGACGGGAGGTTCCACTCAGGCTGGGAGGGATGGCGCACGCCTTTAATCCCAGCACTCTGGAGGCAGAAGCAGGCGGATCTCTATGAGTGTGAGGCCAACCTGGTCTACAGAGCAAGTTCCAGAACAGCCAGGGCTACACAGTGAAACCTTGCCTTGAAAAACTGAAACAAAACAAAACAAAACAAAACAAAAGCAAGCAAGCAAACAAACAAAACCACACCCCATGAACCTCTCCCTCTTCAGTCCCTGGAATCTGGGGTCCTCTCAGTCCTGCTCCTGGGGTACTTATCTCCAAAGACAGCTGCAGGAACAGAACTGCAGAGAACACTCAGATAGCTCCCTGTCCGGGCCACATTTTCCTGTGAATGAGACACTGCCAAAGTTCAGAGATCCATGAGACATGAGCCAAAGGGCGTGTAACCACTTATGTCCGGGATCTGACAGGCTGTCTTTGGCGGCTGGTGGCTACCGTGCTTGGCTCCTCCATGAACACCACCCCCTCTCCATCCTGTGCCTATGGCCCTTGGCTCTGCCCCCTCAGCAGCATCAGGTGAAGCCTCGTTCTAAGCACAATGCCACTGTTCATGAATCCTGGAGCTTTGAGCCTCCGAGACTCCGCTTGGTTTTCTTTTAACACGTAATTGTAATTGTTTATTGCGTGCATTTCCTTGCATGAGTGTGGCTGTCAGAGGATAACTTGAGGGAGTTTGTTCCTTTTCTACCATGTAGGTCATAGGGATAAAACTCAGGCCATCAGGCTTGGTGACAGCCATTTTCCCCACTGAACCACCTCTTCTTTTTTTGAGTTTTTATTTGTTTATTTATTTGGGTTTTCGAGACAGAGTTTCTCTTTGTAATAGCCCTAGCTGTCCTGGAACTCGCTATGTAGACCAGGCTGGCCTCGAACTCACAGAGATCCACCTGCCTCTGCCTCCAGAGTGCTGGGATTAAAGGTGTGTACCCCAACACCTGGAGAGGTTTTATTTATTTTTTTATCATATGTTTATGAGTGTTCTCCTAAATGTGTCTGTGTACCCCTTGCATGCAGTGCCTGCAAAGACCAGAAGGAGAGGTTGGACCCCCTGTGACTAGAGTTACAGATGGCTGTGGGCTGCCAGGTGGGTGCTGGGAATTGAACTTGGGTTCTCTGGAAGAGCAGCCAGTGCTCTTAACTGCTGAGCCATCTCTCCAGCTCTACACTGAGCCATCTTTCTAGTCTCTCTCTCTCTCTCTGGAGTGAGGTTACTATAATTGCCTCATGGTATTAGACTGGCATTTAGCCTGTGTCATACCTGGCTAGGTTGATTTCCTGTTCGTGTTCTTTTCCTTCTATTTCTGGATACCCACTCCAAGTCAAGGAAGTTTTCAACTCCCAGGCACCTCCTGACCTACCTAGAGAGACTGCATACTCCCTCCCTTCTACCCTCCCTCCCTTCCACCCCAAGCATCTCTACTTTATTATCACAGGGGATGCTGATAGGCCAGGTAGTACCTGCAAGCTGCCTGGTACCCTTACTGAGTGGTGTGTGCTTGTGCGTGCATGCGTGCGTGAGTGTGTGTGTGTGTGTGTGTGTGTGTTTGGGGCACAGCAAATGCTAGAGGTGAAGATTTCATGGACTTAGAATTTCTGTGAGCTCATCTGCAGCTCTGGACCTTAAATGGGGGCTGCTGCTCACTGGCAAACTAACGGAGTGGAGCAGAGGACTGGATATCCACAGTAGCTCCATGGTCCAGACTGTGGGGTGCTGACACCCCACAAAGGAGGGTCAGTGATGGATTCCATCTCCAGGTCAGACACCTTAGCAGCCCTGTACCAACTGAGATTCCTCCTGGCTCTTGGCTGTCTCCAGACTAGTGGTCATTGCTTCTCCGACATGGAAGGAGCCGAGTCCGCTCTCCCCCACACACTGCGCTTTCATCAAGGCCCGAGGTTCTCACCCCCAGGTCTCTGTGTACTATGACTGGCCAGAGTCAGGCCCTGAATTTTGTCGTCTTAACCCTTTAACCTGAAAACAGCCAATCCCTTAAGGCTGTTGAACAATAGACATCTATTTTGATAGCTATCTCCAGAATTGTAAAGATTGGCTTAATTGCTCTAGCAGATTCTGTCATTTTTTTAGAAGGGTGCTTTGGCCACGGGGAGAGGCAGATGGGGGGAAATGGGGGAGGGTTAAGACAATTGGATGGTTATCTTCCTGCCAGAAAAATTAGAAAAGCAGCTTCGTCATGCTGGTAGCATGTCTACCTCCCTTAGTCTGAGACTGACCTCGTAACACGGGAGAAGCAAAAGGTCCCAGGGAAGGAGGGATGACCCCTTTCTAGGTCTCTTCCGTGGGATTCCAACCTCCACCCTTCACTTTGGAACCCTGGGGAAGCCAGGCAGGCTCTGCTTACCCTGGCGGCCTGACAGGAGCATATGGAGAGCCCATCAGGAGGATCAGGTACCGGGAGCCTCTGAGGAATCAAGACTAGGATCTCAGGAGTTGGCCGTAGGAAGGGAACACGGGTAAAGGGGCTCTGGACAGAGGACTCTCCAGGTAAGAAACACAGGCAGAGGGGGACACAGACAGGCCACAGAGAGGGTATCTGTGGGTACAGGGGGCTGCTGGCAGTGCAGCTGCCGAGGGAAGGACTGGCAGAGGCATGGGACAGAAGGGGACAGGGGAGCTGCTGGCGGTGTGAGCAGAGCTCTCAATCACTCCATGCTATGGCTTCATGCACCCTCCAGCCCGTCTGGAACCCTGGGAGATCATTCTGTAACTCCTGTCTCTTGCCTCCTCTATCCAGTCATGTGGTACCTCAGACCTCCTCTACCCTGATCGAGGAGGCTTCTTAATAACAAAGCTAGAACATTGCTCTGCCAGTATTATGTTGTGTATATAGTATAGTCAAGTCGCAGCTGCTCCGCAACAGAGGCCAGAGAATATGAGCCAGCCTAAGGGAAGCCCGGGACAGGGACTTCTTGCCAGGGAAGGGGCCTGGGCACTAACTCAGTAAATACTCCCAAAGTGACCATTGTACCACATTGGCAGTGAACGTGGCACTATCAATGCCCCCTGTTCTTTAGGGGGTGGAGAGTCTCTTAGAGGCTCCACAGCAAATTCAAAATATCAGCCTGTTCAAATCTGTAAGCAATCACTGGAGGATCATCTCCATCCCTGCCCTGGAATCTTCCAGAAGGCTCAGCCTCCCCTGAGGGCCCTTTCCCCAGGGGAAAGCTGAAGAGGCCAGAAGAGACCCTCCTGGCTCCATGCCAGCCCCCAGGCAGGAGGCCCACAGCTCACTTTCCTCGGCAAAATAAATCTTGAGAGTTTCTAACCGGCTCAAAACGCACGATCTTCTCCCGATTAACAAGCCGGCCTGCGTGTTCTTGGCTGCTTGCTGCCGACCTCAATTTAAAAACTGTCTGCTGCTCAGCTGCTGGAGAGGAAGGGCCCAGGAGGCATGGAATATTGAAGCTGAGAGACCTGTGTTGCCAAAGTCGGGGGCGGTGGCTGCTGACCCTGCTCCAATTCTAAACAGCCTCTCGGAAGCTTGCAGGAGGAGGCCTAGCCGGGCTGGGCTGCTGCTTGGGCGGGCGCGGGGAGGGGGGTATTTAAACTGTTTTCTGATGAGTGTGGGTTAGGGAGGATGGCTCCAGTGGAACTGGCCTTGTGATGAGCATTGGGCACAAGTGGCCACATGTGAGCAGCTCTCCATCTTTGGAGGATGGCTCCCGGGGGAATGGTTGTTATACCACCTGGAGACTTGACAATGTTCTCCCAGCCCTGATTCTGGGAATGACCCATCTCTGCCGACTGGCCAGCCTTCCCTGCTGGCATGAAGACCTGCTCCCTCTGTCCCCTGCCAGGAAGTGCTCTGGTTTCCTGTATTCTTTCCTTCATTTCTTCCCTAGCTATTAGTCCCTTAGGTCTGTATGGGTAACAAATGGGGGTACCTTTCATCCTGTGGGAAGGAGAGGGTTAGGAGCTCAGGCTCTGAGGTCCCCTCAGCCCCAGGGGTGTCTCTGCTTCCCACTTCTCACCTGTTGAAGAATCCACCCTAATGGTTGACCTTCCTGACTCTCGTTCTTCCTCAGGCAAAGCTTTTGCCTGGCCTCTGTCCATTGGAGAAATGGGATCTCTCTGAGGATCACCCTGTGCAGTCCACACGCAGGAGGCACACTTGGGTGAGGCATCTTGCCGTGAGCCGTCACTTTATCCTGCCTTTCTACCCCCACAGGAGGGATATCAGTGACCCACACCGGCCTCCCTATCATGGTCTCTCTGGCCAACACGGCTGTCTCCTTTAGCTGCAGAATCAACTACCAGGACACCCCACAATTCAAGGACTTCACCTTTAGCTTCTTTCATGAGGATCTCCATGGCAAGAGAAGTGTGGAGAAGCCAATTGACTGCAAACACAGCCCTGGCGCGGAGAACCAGACCCTGGATTGCGAGGTTAAACTCAGCCTGCCAGATGCATCGGCCACAGGCACTTACTACTGCTTAGTCCAAGGGCACATCTCAGTGCAGGGCAGCGGCACCTTCATTCTGGTCAGAGGTGAGGCCTCCTCTTGATCCTTCCAGGGTGAATAAAATGCTGGGACCACCCAGCAGTTTCTCTGCCTTGCCTTGTAGCTTTGCAAACAGAGCAGAAGCCGGGAACCCCTGCCCTGCAGGTGTGCCAGGCACCCACTTTTGTGTTGAAAGAGAAGGGGCCCAGTGTGGGGATCTGCCTCTGGACACCTTGGACAAGTGACTTGAGAGAGGTCACTCAGCCCACTGGTGCCGGGACCCCATTAGCAGTGCAGGGAAGTGTGGGGTTAGGCGTGTGCACACGAGGACTTGTGAGCGTCTTGCTTGAGTGAGCATTTGTTTTACATCATTCTGGAAGTAATCCCTAGTTACCATTCTCAATGGTGTGAGACCCCTAATGTTAAAAGCGAGCCGTGGTCAAGGTCCCAGTTCTTTCTCTAGCCACTTCTGTGAGAAGGGGCTGGGACTTTGGAATCCCACAGCCCTGGGTTTGACTTTTTGTTTTACTGCTTGACTGGATGTGACCTTGGTTCTGACCTTCATGGCAGTACTCTGCCCGACGTTGCACAGGCTAGCCTATGAGGGATGCTGCCTGGGCACTTGCTCAGTAACTGTTATGGGCCCAGACGTGGGTTGTCTTTTGTCCTCTGCCAGCCAGATGGAGGCAGGGAAGGAGGGTGGAGGGAGGGCTCCAGATGAGGGGATGTTTGCCCCTTGTCTACCCCTGGCGTAACTGTCCTTGTCAGTCCCAGTGTCCCTCACAGCATACACTCATATTGTCATTATTTCAGATACAGGAAAGGAGGTCTCCAAAGATGATATGACTCACCAGGGTCCCCTAGGCAGCCCTCAGCAGTGCCAAGGCCACTGAGTCAGGGCCACTAAAGGGGCAAATGACCTAGTCCTATCCTTAGAGTATCATGACAATAAAGATACACAGGAACAAAGCCAAGGCCCTGAAGGGTCTCAGAGGGGGCCCTGACAAGGTCAGGGGTCGTAGAGAGTTAGAAACAGGTAAAAGGGCAATTTAAGCTTTGGGGCTAGGGGTTGGTAGGCCATCTAGGCCTTGATCTCTCCCGGGAAACTTACTCTCTGCTCCCTGCGCTCCTCCCTCCCTCTCAGACACAGCATACCACCCACCTTCGTTCAAGCGCCAGGAGGCCCTGCTGTTCAGTTTTACCGGCTTGCTGGGTACCCTGAGTGTGTTGGGCACAGTTCTACTGCTTTGGAAGAAGGTGAGGACCAAGTGGACACGTAACACATTTATGCTGAGTCTTGCATCCTCCATCCACACGATGGACCTGGGGAGGCCTCTAAGACCAGAGGAACTGCCCTGTCCCATAGGGTATCCTAGGCCCTGGGCAGGATACTCCATCAGCCCAGAGGCCCACTTTGACCCAGTTGAAAGAAATAGGGGTTCTTTAGACTTTCCCAGGTTACTCATCCGGCAGATGATGCAGGCTCCCATCAGGTCCCCGGACAGAGCCTACTCCCCAACCCCTGATAGCCAGCCATGAACAAGGAAGGGAGAGCCTAAAAGATGCTGTGTGCCTGACCCTCCCACACACATCTCCCTATCTCGCAGGCCCAGAGAGTGAGGCCCAAAGAAGCTGTGACTTGCTTATGGTCATATAGTGAGCACATGACAGAGCAAGGGCTGGAGTGTATGTGAAGGGGACAGTGTGCTCCAGCTCTTGGCTTGCCCGTTTCCTGTTCATGGTGACTCCCCACTAGGGCACCCCTCATTCTTACCTTTTCACAGTGGTCTTTTCCTTGTCACCTGCCTCGGCCTGTGGCATAGGACTCTGCACTTAGTCGTGTTCAGTAAGAATCTGCTGGCGGGATTATAATTCTCAGTCCTTTCATAGGAAATACATGGGTTGACTTTTAAAGTGGATCTTAGCCGAGTACCTACTATGCGCCAGGCATTAGGATATATCAGAGATTAGGAACCCAGAGGAAACACAACGACTAAAATCCCAAGATAGCCTGCTTGGTGGTCAGTGGGGGCTGGGAGGCTTGAGAGCACAGCTCCAGACCGGGTTTGTGCTCTAACCACCCGCCCCCTACACACACACACACACCTTACCAGCTCTGTGAGTTTGGGCAGGCTAACCAGTTCCTCCCTGCCTCAACTGAGATCTCCGCAGAGGAGAGTCCAAGCGGAGACAATTCCAGGCATCCTGGCTGTGGACAGGAGGTGGAGGTAGGAAACGTTAAAGAAAACCTGGGCTACTTTGAGCACCAGGACGGCTAAGATGATGGCCTGAGAAGATGATGGCCACCGTGACGTCCACCATGGGAGCAGGTGTGACGACACCACCTGGCTGGGATATGTGTGTGTAAAAACAGCTCTGGAAGGTCCTGGGCACCTTTCTCTAGGCACCTGGGTGACTAATTTGTCCCGGGGTTTATGTTTTCATCCATTGATGAGCTGCCAGGCTCCTCCCTAAGCTTCAGACTGGTCCGGTGAACATGGTGACTCATATATATGGGGCATAGGGTATCTCCACCTGAAATGACCAAAAGAACACTCTTCAGGACCTTAGGCCTCCTGAGGGCTCAGGATTAAACCCTGGAGCTGTGTGTGGCTTGCCTACTCACTCCCACAATCGTTCCTCAGCCAATCCAGGGTCCAGCCCCTTCTCCCTGGCCCTGGCTTGGGCCCCATTATCCTCATCAGGATCCTCGATCACCTCCTCCTACCCTACTATCCAGCCTCTGGCTTCTGCGCTTCTGCGTTTCTGTTGTCTCCCTGCCTGAGTGAAGCACCCTACAGGACAGGGACTTGATACCCTGGTGCGTGCCAGAGCCTGGTACATTGTAGGTGCTGGTGGAAGAAATTATGGGATATATGCATGCTGATTCCTGAAAGATGAGGAGGAGTAAGCTAGGGTACAAGGAGGGCAAGGTGACATTATGGCTCCTGTTTCAAAGCAGGGGAAACTGAGGTTTAGCAGGTTTCTTGGGCAGAGGTACAGAGAACTAGGCACTATGGGAGAAGTCATGCTGCCTGGCTGACTAACCTAATAACCACAACCTGAAAGGACAAGTTCTGGTAGCGTGGGTCAGGGTCCTGAGTAGATAGAGCTGGTTCCAAGGGACAGAGCATCCCCAACCTCCACAGCAAAACGTAACCCAACCGAGTTCGCAAGGGTACTCCCCCTCCGTCCCCATAGGAGTTCCGCTTTAGCCTGGGCCTCCTCCCCATTGCTCCCAAACTTCAATCCGCCTTGCACCTGCGTCTGAAGCCAATTACAGAGGTGGATGAGAGCGAATCTGACCACGTCCAGCTCTGGTGGCTCCTACTCTTCCCCACCATACCCCCCAGTAGAGACACTGGTGTCATTTGTATTCTGTGGCCTCGTCATTGCCCATTTCCCCTTCCTTGCTCTTCCCTCCCCACTCTCTTGCTCGCTCTCCTCTCCCCTGCTAGTCCCTCCCCTGCACATCCCTAACAATCCATAGCCTCCTGTGGACTTGAGCACTTTCCTGAAGCCAACAGTGTAGCTCACCTCCCTGAGCTCTCAGTGGCAAACCCAATAGGCCACAGGCTCCCTGGTGCTCAGCCAGGCCCAGCATGGAAGAGGGCTGGCACCACAGCCCGCAGGTGTCTCATGCCAAGACCTGTGTTTTCCAGCCTGGATCCAAAGTGCTTATCCAGAAGCTTCCAAACAACCACTGCCTGGGAGTTCCTGTCTTTCAGCTTTAGTGACGTTTAGACAAGCAGGCTCAAAAGGGAAGGGGCCAGGGCCCCAGCCCTCTTGACAAGGAGGTGGTACCAATGTACCCCGAGTGTCCCTGGGGTGTAACTGTGGCAGTGTTTCCAGGAATAGACAGTGTATGGAGGTGCCAGGTCTGTGTTTCCTCATGGGTAGTCATTTGTTAGCTTGGCAGGCCTCACTTTTCCTCCCTGTGAGATTGGTAAGTCCGTGTCCACTCCCTCAGGCTGCTGAGAGAATTAAGTGGCCAGGACAGGGGTCTTTCTGAGTTATAAACTGCGCACAGGTGGCCGCACCTGTCTGTATGAGACCCACGAATTCCCACAAACAGATGCCAACACTCTAGGTAGCATTGGGTTGGCGTCTTAGCAAACGCAGACACAGGTTCCAATCCTGCCCCTGCCGCTTACTGGCTGCGTGTCTGCACAATCCCCTACCCTCTCCAAGATTTTACTTCTTCACGCGCAGAGCAGAGATGACCCGAGAGCTCGTCTGCAGGTTTGTTGAGCACAAGCAACAACAGGGCATGTCTCCCTCCCCGACTCCATGTTCAGCTGTATGATGCTGAGACTGGGGGTGGCACCGGTTTCTGCCTGTGAGTTAAGTAGCTCTTGAGTGCTAATCCGGGAGTAAATGGGCTGGGGATTGGCAGGTGGCCAGGGTTTTTAATTAGCTCCTGCCCTGAGATGAGGCCCTTGTTGCTCCACTGTTGGCAGTGTGGTGCCTGTGATGAGGGGGGCGTCCAAACTGCCTCCCTCTGGCTGTCCCCGGGGCCCTGTGCTTTTCCAGCAGGGTGACCCAGTGTTCTCCAATTTCACTTGCCATTTGGTTTTAGCCTTCTGGAGTTTTCCAAAGCTGGTTTGCTCTAGGCACCCTATCTGGAGCCCTCGATGCTTTCTGCCCTCCTCACTGCCCTGCCCGTCATCCTGCCCATCAGGGTAGTTAGCCTCAGGCTGACCTCTCCTTGAGCGCCCTCAGTCCTGCAGGTTTGGTACATGCCTGCCTGCCTGCCTGCCTGCTGTGCTTCTGCCTGGAGCCCTTGCCTCTCTGTTCCTGCTGAACACACTCCAGTCCTCGCATTTCCCCCAAATGACCCCTTCCTGAGTCATTGGTCTCCGCATACTGGAAGCTCTGCTATGGTAAATTTGTGATGTATGGCCCATCTCTCCCACAGACTTTAAGATCAGGAGGGCAGGGAATGTGTCCACTCTTTCACACTGCCCAGCTAAAGAGGTGTTCCGCTGACGTGAGGGTTTCCCGAGTGCCACCAAACACCTCCCCTCTGTCCCCTCCTTGAAACTTTGTAATCATCTTGCTAAGGGGGCTACTGCGGAAGGCATTGAAGCTAGAGAGAAAGTGTCTTCCTTCAGGGCCACAGTCGGTGAGGGGCTGGCTGGCATTCACTTGGGGCCCACCTACACAGTTTCGTCCCTAGAGTCGGGCACTCTGCTGTGACATGGCCCCACGTGGCTCTGCGTTTCCTGTAGCTTCAGGCACCTCTCCCTGGAGACGGCAAGTGGAAAGGGTTGAGTGATTAATTTTTGTGTGGCCCCATGGCAATCAGCAATTTCCTCCCTCGATGGGGTCTGTAAGGGGAGGGAGATGGGAGAGCTGCTTCTCCTCAGCCTCCACAGCCCTGGCTTTCTTCTCTCTACAGAAACAGATGTCAGTCCTGGGCAAGCATATTACCAGGACTTGCCCCGGTCCCAAATCCACCGGCGGAGCCACAAAGCCTCCGGCAGAATCCATCTACACGGTGAGTCCCAGAGCCCTTCTACCTCTCTCGGGCTTGACCTAGGGCCTGGCTAGCTGTGTGAGGGTAGTGTTTGCTAATCTATAAACAGACACGGCAGTTCTACAAATTAGGGATTTCTACAAAGGCTAAGGGAGAGGCAATGTGTGGGCCCCCTTCTGGAACATGAGGCAGTGAGAGCAAAAGTTGGCAAGGATGAAGAAAGTTCCTTCAGCTGAGCAAATTATCCCCAACCCGACTTGCAAGCTTTTTCCTAGTTCTGTTGCACAAGCGACCCTGACGCAGCAACAGCCAAAGTCACAAAAAGAGGAAAGGGCCTGGCACCGCCCCACACTCTTGACACATCAAGGGCTTTCGCTTGTCCACCAGTCCCTTCCTCATCTATCCCTCCAGTCACAGCAAGGCTCCACGTGGGACTCCGTGTGTCACACACCCTGTTGTGTCACGTGCATCCACCCCCCCCCCCCACCCCCCCACCCTGCACAGTTTTCACAGTTACAAGGGAAGGGCTTGAGGAGACTGTGCCTGCCTGGTCACCCGGATGTGGGACTCCCCCTGAGTTGTGTTGCTTACAGTCCTGTGAGTAGTGTCTGCTCAGTGTAGACAAAGTCAAGGATTTACCCCCGCCTCCCCCCCCCCCCCCCCCCCCCCCCCCTGTCAGCCAGAGCCACCAGGTGCTGCTGCCGACCCCACAGCTGGCCGCTTGGGTAGCCAAGGACATATTTGGAGGGTGTTTACCACTCCTCCTGTCTCCAGGACCTTGTTGATGCACACGTGAGACCTGGCCATAAATCCCCACCCAGAGCATGATCAGAATTAGGCTATGTTTGCTGAGGGTGGGGGAGGCGGCAATGAGGCCAAGGGACGTTCCCGTGGGGGGCAACACTGACAGCTCTCAGAACAGGACAGTTCTCAAAGGGCCCTTAGTTTCTCCTCTCCAGGGACTTTCCACCAGCTGCTGCAGCGTATGCCGCCCCAGATTCCCCCAAATTCCCTCTTCCTTCCCAGCAGCTCAACACTAGGAGAGAGTATAGTGTCAGCTGCTATGTGAAAATCAATCTCTCTTTCTCCCAATCAATCTCTTCCACCCTCTCCCTCCCCGCTCCCTCCCTCGCTCATCTGGGAATGCAACTCAGGGTCTTGAACACGCTAGGCAAGAGGCAAGCACTGTACTCCTGTGCAGGAGCCTCAGCCCTTATACTGCTTTTATTTTCAGCTTTTGTTTTGACACCCATAGCTCAGGCTAACGAGTTCCCAATCCTCTTGCCTCCACCGCCAGGGTGCTGGAATTATGAGCTTGAGTTTCAGTGTCCGACTGCACTTTAAGAACATAGAGTTGCACAGAATTTTTTTTAAAGATTTCCTTGATTTTAATGTATGTACGAACCCTTTGCCTACATGTATGTCTCTGCCCCACTTATGTGTTTGGTGCAGAACACAAGGAAGCCAGAAGCGGGCACCAGATTCTGTAGAGATGAAGTTACAGACAGCCGTGAGCCGCCACGTGGGTGCTGGGAATTGAAATGGGGTCCTCTGGAAAAAACAGCCAGTGCTCTCAACCATGGAGTCCTCTCCCCCGGCTGCTTTGTAATATTCTTTGTCTCTGGCTAAATCTATTTTTCGTATGTACGCGAATTCTGACTTTTATAGTCTGAACGCCACTGAGACTGGCTTTCTGTCTCACCTGGTGCTCTGCACACCCTAGGCAAGCGGCCGCGCTTCACTCCCCGTGTGTGAGCGTTCTCTATCGCGGTTGCTGAAATGGTCCGGATCCTTGTTGGTCCCTATTGATTTTCTTTGTCTTATCAGGTGTTAAGTGTCTGCCAGTGCGGTGGTGGGTCTGCATACTCCTCCTTTTGACTGTGTCAGCTTTGCTTGCCTTCACGTGGAAAAGCACTCAGACTTTATCCGAAGCACCGTAGCACTTGAACTTGTGTTTAGAATCCTGACCTATTAGAGTTTCTAAACGGGCCAGCCTGACAGAAGCGAAGCCTTGTGCTTGTTTTGCTGTAGACAGGGTCTCACCGTGTTAACGCGCGGACTTGTCTGGAACTTGCTGATTCTACCACTTAAACCTTCTGAGTCCTGGTCCTGATGATGAATGCAGGGTTAGTCATCCAGCATTGCCTTTGCAGCTCCCAGCACACTGTGATTCCTTCCGTCTTAAATTCCTCTTCTTGAACCGTGTCCCCCCAGTCGCCCTCCCTTCTCTACAGATGACAGAACGCCCCAGGGTGCCTTTTCTTGATTTTTTTTTATTTGACATTTAAAAAGAAAATCTGTGTGTGCGCGTGTGTGCATACCATCTGTATATGTGACTGTGGATTTCAATGTGTCGCAGCAAGTGTGTGGAGGCCCCAGGGCAACCTGGGGTGCAGGTCCTCGCTTTCTACCTTAGTTGGGACAAGGTCTGCTTGTGTTCACTGAGTCATACTCCAGCCTGGTTGGCCTGCGAGCCTCCAGGAATTCTTGTCTCTGCCTCTCATCTCACTGTAGGAGCGCTGGAATAAGAGGCATCCATGGCTTGCACCTGGTTTTGTATGGATTCTGGAGATTTGAACTCAGGCCCCGCACACGTGTGGCGAGGGCTTGGCCCACTATGGCATCTCCTTAGCCCTCCCTCGCTCCTTTCTGACTGGCTAGCCCTGCAGCCACCCTTCAGCAGAGCTCTCCTTGGCAGTCACTCTGGTTCCACGTGGCTGTACCCGCCAGGCAGTTCTGGGTCCCCAGGTCCCTTGATGACTCAGCAGCTTCTGACAGCTCCCTGAGCGCTCCCTCCTCCTCGATTCTAGAACATTTCATTCTTTCTCGATCCTCCCCTGATTCACCGGCACACCTCTTCAGCCCCCTCTCACTGATTCCTCCTCGGGAGCTGTGGAACCCTCACCTGCAAACACTGGTGTAGACATTGGGGTTCAGCCCTGGGACCTCTGCCCTCTTTTACTGTCACTCCCCACCCCGGAGTGATCTCATCGGGAAGGGTTCTGAATCCCATCCACGTCTGGCTCAGCCCCAGCTTTTGTCTCATACATCCCTGAGCCTTGGACCCAGCTCCACCAAGATGTCTCATTTGCAGTTCTCAGCCAAATTCTAAATCTTCAGGCACTGTGTGCCTCCAACATTCTCTCCCCGGGAGATGCTGGCTGTTCTGTCAGTCACTCGGGCCAGACGCCCTTCCTGTTCTTGCAGGTGGAGGTGCTGAAGCAATTCTTTTTTTTTGTTTTGTTTTGTTTTGTTTTGTTTTTTAATCAAGACAGAGTCTCGCTTGGCTGGCCTGGACCTCACTATGTAGACTAGGCTGGTCTCGAACTCGCGGAGATTCGTTTGCCTCTGCCTCCCAAGTGCTAGGGTTAAAGGTGTCCATGACTATGCCTACAGAAGCAATTCTTGAGGCCAGCAATCCTTTAGAAGTTGCCATGCCACCCTAGATCAAGATTAGAAGTCTGTTCACAGCCTCCAAGTTGTCACTGTCTACCCGTCAAGAGGTCCTTCCTATACCTACTTTCTCCTCAGATGGTCCTTTCCAAAATAATACACATGACAGCCTCCTCCGTCTCTCTCTGTCTCTCCAGGTGTCATGCCCTGCTCTTCCTTAGGTCGTCACGGTCTCCCTCAAGCCCCCTCCTCATCCTGCACAAGCTCAGGGCTGTGGCCTGACGTTTGCTCTGCCCTTCCAGGGCAGCTTAGATTCGAGACCTGATGCAGGGTAGAGGGGATAACTATAGCAAATGGGGTGTCAGTAGCTTCTAAAGACATCCCCTCACCTCTGCTCTCTGCCTCTGCCTGGCCCAGTGTCCCTGGCCCCCAGTTCCTCTTGTCCTCTTTGAAGTGAATTTTTTTTTAAAAAGATTTATTTATTTTTCTATGCATTGGTGTTTTGCCTGCCTGTATGTCTGTGTGAGGGTACCAGGTCCTCTGGGACTGGGGTTACAGACAGTTGTGAGTTGCCATGTGGGTACTGGGATTTGAACCATGGTCCTCTGGAAGAGCAGTCTTAACTGCTGAGCCATCTCTCCAGCCCCATGAAGTGACTTTTCTCACACTCAGATGTGATCATGGAAAATCTGGTATGATTGTACCAGAACCCCGACCCAGAGCTGAGGTGCTCCGCAGTACTGCCTCTTTCTACACTGTAATCTCCAGAGGAGATCCAGGCCCAGACAGCTAGCTTCGCACTGCCCTGAACCAACCTGGAGGCTGGCCTTGATTCTTCCACCAGGCTAATGAACATTTTGTAACTGCCCACTGGGCAACAGGAGGCAAAGGGGTCTGTAGGACCTGAGAGTCAGACAAGTAACCGCTGCAGAGCGGAGGCCAGCAGAGCCTAGCCTGGACAATCTAGCAGAGAGTCGAGGGAGGTAACCTCCCCGTTAGCCTTGCTCCTCATTGCTGAGAAAGGCCCAGAAAACTGAACTGGACGAGAGGCTCGGAAGTGTCCTGCTGACAAGGCTCTCCCCTGCATTTCACAGCCGGGAACAGCAGGTCAAACCCTGAATGCAAATGCAGCCAGCAGGTCAGGACTGTCAAAGGCTCCACTGGACACCAGCTGAGTGATGGCCACGCTTGCCTTTTGCAGCACAGACACCAGAAACAGGGTGCCCTTCCCTGACTCCAATGGTCCCTGGCTTCTCTGGGTTTGCACCTGCTAGGGTGGCCAGAATAGTGGAGACATGAGAGAGGGAACCACTTGTGGTCCCTGGGTCTGTGAGTCTGAGAAAGGCCTGAGGGGTCATAGCGTGTCTGGGTAACATGTTCTACCCTGTGCACTGGGCGGAGGTCAGTTCTCTGGTCAGGCACAGAGGCCCACGGGGCTCAGAATGGGCCTTGGAAGTTCTCTTCCCTTGTAGATGAGGCAGGCTGGAAAATCCTCTCCCAAGCCCCTCCCTCTGTCTAGCTGAGAGACACTCTGAGCAGTCCTCAGGACGGATTCGCCACCCTGCCTGTGTCTGATGCCCTTGAAGTTAGGGTCTCCCAAGCGCCAAATGGTTTATTACAGGGGTTTTCATGCGTGGCTACCTCTGGGCGCTTTCTTCCCTTCTCCCCTCCCATCTCCCCACCCTCCTGCCTCTGAGCACCACCTGTCTCCCCAGCCTGCCTCACCAACCCCTGCTTGACTGTTGCCAGGGAAACCGCCTCCTTGGCAACAAGCCGGCATCCATGTGACAAGTACACTGGGGAAGGGAGGGTTTCTGCCTCTTGCTTGCTTGGGCTTTTGCAAGCTGTGTTCTAGAGCTCCGAAACACCGCAGCTGGGGTGGTGCCTTCCTGGGCGATCTTCGAACAACTGCATATTAAGCACCTACTGTTTGCCTAACTTTATGTGCAGCCTCGTATTTATTCACGTGTTGGGCCTATAAGACCGATATGACAATTCCCATTTTGTAGATGAGGAAACTGAGGCAGCAAAGAGGCTGCCTGTGGCAGCAGGTATCAGAGCCAAGAATTGAACCTGGTCTTGTCTGACTTCAAAGCCAGGGTCTTCTCACTGTCTTGGAATCTGTGGTCTGGCTGCTAAAGACCCTCAGGAGTGACTGACTGGCTCCACACACCTAGTAAGGGAGAAGTTCCCTCACCAATCCTCACCTGGTGGCACTGTCACTGTGCCGAGACCAGCTATAGAGTCCGGTGCCCACAGACAAACCAGGCATGGTCCCTGTCCCCGAGATTCCCAGTCTGCTGAAGGCTGTAGGTATACCTTGGATGTGAACCACATCCAAGCAAGCCACAGAGGCTGGGTTCCAGCTTCCCAATCCCAGGGAAGTTCTCTGGAGAAGTCATAGATTGCAGGGCTGTAGTCATGGGGAGAGTGAGAGCATGTATTTCCAAGGGTTCATATTTAAGGAATGACTCTGGCCCTAGATGACCAGAGTAGTGTGGCTTGAGGGGGCCAAAGGGAAATAATAGGCTAGGGAGAGAGCAGCGTGCCCTGGGCTCTGGAGTTAGATTCCTTAATCCTCCAGCAAGGCACAGGACTGATGAAGGAGGAGTGAGCTCCTACTCCATGCCTGGGTTGTCTGCGAGCCCCGGATGAGTAGTGAGTAAGAGGAGACCTAGAAGGTGGATGAGCAGATGGGATTCTGTCATGGACAGTCCCTGAACCAGGGAGTGAGGGCAGAAGTTAGCAGGGACCCTCGGTGTCATGTAGGGGGCTTCCTACTGCCTCTGGGGCCTCAGGCACCGGAGAACTGTCAGGGATGGTGGGTGACAGTGTATCCTTTTGCCAGCCAGGGGAAGTCTGGACTGAGTCCCATGCTGGGCTTTGCTGGTGATCCTTGAGGGAAGTGGTGTGGTATAGACAGAGTTGGCCCTGTACAATCAGGGCAAGGACTCAGCTGACTCAGAGACTGGCAGTTTTAATAGGGACAGCCCGGGGGTTCTGCCCTTCCCTGGGCTTCCACAGCACATCCGGTTAACAACAGGCAGGAACCTGAGGACTGTCCTTCTATGTCACCTGCCGCTGACACTGGTGCCCTCTTTCCTACAGGGTCTACAGCCCCGAGAGACAGAGGTCTATGACTGCCTCGAAGGAGAGACTGGCAGCCCTGTCTCCAGCCAAAGTCCTCCCTCCAAGGTATGCCCGAGCCTGGGGACATGGCGCCTGCTTCCTTCTCACCCCTCCCTCCCTCCCTCATCTATGCCATGGGAGTTTAATAGACCCCAGAACTGGGCCACTCGCAGTTGACTGTGCCATCCCCACAGGCTGGCCTAGTGGTTGGGAGGACTGGCAGCTTTGAACTTGGTTGGTCCCTCAGCAGCCCTTGCAGCCTTGGAGGAGTTTGAATCTCCTGGTCTGTATTCGGAGGAGCCAGGATAATCCTCACCTCCCAGGCTTTCTTTGAGAACAGCTCACGGTGTTGAGAGGGCGACCCAGGACCCAGCGTGAACTCACACAGTGTGGCGATTATAACCACCGCTGGTGAGCACTGTGCAGTGTCTACACCGGCCAGTCGGGTGAGAGCATAAGACGTCCAGATGGCCCCAGGCATGTGCCGGTTACAGTCTGAGTTGGATGGGCACTGGTGCCAGCTCTGGCTGTTATTGTGACCGGGCCTGGGGCTCACTACTTTGTCACGCTTTCTCTCTTAAACCTCAGTGTGCTTAGCCGGGCAGCGGTGGCTCACGCCTTTATTCCCAGCAGAGTATCTTTGTGAGTTCAAGGCCAACCTGGTCTACAAGAGCTAGTCCCTGGACAGGCTCCAAATACTACAGAGAAACCCTGTCTCGAAAAAAGAAAACCTCAGGGCTGGAGAGATGGCTCAGAGGTTAAGGGCATTGCCTGCTCTTCCAAAGGTCCTGAGTTCAATTCCCAGCAACCACATGGTGGCTCACAACCATCTGTAATGGGGTCTGGTGCCTTCTTCTGGCCTGCAGGCATACACAAAGACAGAATATTGTATATATAGTAAATAAATATTTTTTAAAAAATTAAAAAAAAAGAAAACCTCGGTGTGCTCATCTCTAAAGTGGATGAGCAATACTCACCTGAGCTGCCAGCTTTGCCAGAATTCAAGAGTAACGTGAGCCCCAGAGTTTGAACTCTACAAAGCAGCAGTGTGGTCACGCTGGTGTGGGAAGCCTGCAAGGTGGGTGGTCTCAAAACACGGTGGAGAAGCCTCAAGGAGTGCAGGAACTAATACTTGGCCCCCTCACACTCCAGGCTGGAAGTGTTTGTTGAATCTCTAGTTTTCAAAACCCTGAACTAGGCCCTAACTGGAAGCAGGGTCTCCCACCCCAGACCACTGGGAAGATCTCAGTCAGTATCTATACAAGGGCAGGCTCTGGGGTGCTAGTCAGGAAAGTGCGGTACACTTGCCTTCTAGAAACCTACACTGCAGGAATAAACTATCGACCCCAAAGACGTGCAGAGAAATCAGTAGCCCTGTGTGGAGAACAGGTTCTGTAGTGAGGCCAGACCAGTGTGAGGAACAGAGAGGGCTCCCTGGTCCTCTTGAGATGCACCTGCTGGTGAATTCTGATAGTTGAGGGCTCGGTGTCTATGTGGAAGAGATTGCATCCCAGACCAAAGGAAGATCATGGGGAGAAGCCAGAAACTGGCCCTGGGAGCCTGCTGGGCTTAGAGGGTGGAGGGCAGCTATGGAGAGGCATGGCAGAAGAGGTGGGCTTGGGGACAGAGGTCATGTTTCCTATCAGTGTGACTCAGTAAGCTATCTGTCTGCCCCCAACAAAAATAAATTGGTACAAATTCATAGCCAGGCGAGGTGGCTCAGGCCTATCACTGCAGCATCAGGAGACTGAGCAGAAAGATTGCAGGGAACGCAAGGCCAGCCTGGGCTACACAGTGAGATCAATGCAATAAATGACTAAACATTGGCTCAAATTCGTTCTTTTCCAACCTAATATTTCTCTCTCTCCTTTCTCCTCCCTCCTTCTTTCCCTCTCTTTTCTCTCCTAGGAGAAACGGAATAGGTTTGAGGAAGACAATGAATTTAACCTCGTCTATGAAAATCTCTAGGAGACGTTCCATAAGTCCTGAGCCTTCTCTTGGATTAGGGACCCAGAGCCACTTCCCTTGTCCGAGGACATGATCTGGGCCGGGAACAGGGCCCATAGACCATACCATCACCTGGACATTCAGGCCTCTCCCTGCCTTGGCCTGACCTACTCTCCCAGCCTTCCTGCCATCCTGTAGTTCACATCTCTGGGCTTTCACCCAGCCTTCTCCTCCATCTAGAGAGCCATTCTTCCCCTGACCCTGTGGGCAAAGGGCGCCTCAGTCCCCCCTCCTCCCCGGGCTCTTTTGTCCACCACCTCTTTCCCCCTTCATCCTTTACTGCCATCCCTACAGAGCTGTGTACAGGGCTCTCTTGGCACGGGTCTCCATCTGGGCCCTGAGGCAGATCAGGGCTGTGCCCAGCCACTGAGCCGAGTTCCCTGCTCATTCAGCCCAAAGGCACAAATTCACAGCCAGGCATGGTGGCTCAGGCCTATCACTGCAGCCTTCAGGAGGCTGAGTAGAAGGATCAGAAGGATCGCAGTGAACTCAAGGCCAGCCTGGGCTACACAGTGAGATCAATGCAATGAATGACTGCCTGCCACATACTGGGTGGAGCTGGGAAACGGTGTAGCTAAGGAGAAATGAAGAGTGGGCAGCGAAGAACTGCACAAAAGCTGGCTGGGTCCAGGGCCGGATATAGAGGCTTAGGATATGGCAAGTGGCGGTGAACCAGGGCCCGGAGCAGGGAGGTTCCACACATACTGGTGAGAAAGGGAAGTCTGGCTTGCTTAGGGTAACTCCTTTCCCCCAACAAGAACCCCTTGCTGATTTCCCACCAGCCTGTGTGGGCACTCACCTCACTGTGCCTACTGCCCTTGGCTCTCCAGGCCTCTTCCTTGCTCTACCCTAAGACCCAGCTCCCCCAAATCCCTTCCTTGTGGCCTCTTCTGGCCCCACCACCCGTGCTTCATCCTATTTCCCTCTGTCTTTATTTATTTGCTTTTGGCCCATGGAGACCAGCCTAGCTGTCTGCATGTGTGACTCTGTGTGACTTGCACTCTGCTTTTCGGGGTAGGTGGGCAGGCGGGTCTCTGTGCTGAAGAAGCTCAAACCGGGGTGAACAAAATGAACTTCAGCTTTTCTGCCCCCTCCCCCACCAGAAATTCATTCAAGGAACCCCTCATTTCATCCTCCAGGCAGCTCTGCAGTAGGGAATCCATCTCCTTGGAAGACAGGGACTGAAGGTCTCTGTGTCTGGGCTGCAGGGATCGTTTCTCACCCTTCTTCCCTCCTTTGCCTGCCTCTCCTTTGCCTTTCCCAGACTCAGTTTATCTGTGAAACGGACAGACCAATCTACTTCCCCTGCTTTCTAGGCTACTTCAAAAGTCCCTGGAATGTTCTCATTCCAAAGCCTGTGCACACCCAGGGGACGTGGAGGTATCCGTGTGCAGGCACCTAGCCTGGACCCAGCAGTACTGAACCATCTCCCCTCAGGCAGCACCTTCTGTTCTGCAAGTGAGACCCTCCTTGGAGGAATAGAAAGGCTAGAGCGGAAGACAAAGGCTGATCTCTGGAAGCCCACTGTGCCCCTGGGTAGTGGCACCAGGCTTTTCTGGGCCCAGTGGCCAGCAACCTACAAGCCTGGTTCTATCGAGGCCCACTGTGTGAACATCCAACAAGCAAAGCTCCTCATGGACTGGGTTAAGTGAAGGCCTGTGCTCCCCAAGGCTGGCTTAATGAGTTCCTGGTCTTGTGGAGGAGGGAAACTGTGTGGTACAGAGCTGTCCCCAGGCTCCTGACTCCCGCAGCCTGAGAGGAAGGTCAATGCTGGGGTGGGAACTGCAGTCAGTAAACACTTGGCTGCTACTTCCCCCGCATCCTGAGCTCTATGACCCATCTCTGGACTCTCTGACTGGGACTCAGGTTTCCCCTGCCCTTTCTCAGAGAGTGAGGAAGCCTCGTGTGAATTCACATGGTGCCCTGGCTGAGGACCCAGCACCCAGGCCTCCCAGAAGTCCCCAGTGTTCCCACTGCCTCTTCCCTATAAAGAAGCTGAGGGGATCTGGCAAAACCTACTTTGTTTTTGTCCCTTGCCTGTGAAAAGCCTTCTGTGGCTTCTACTTCGCTTGCAATAAAGTCTCAGCTCCTTACTGTGGCTGAGGATCTGTGGAAGACTGACCCATTGCCCTCCCGGGAACACAGACATTGCCAGAGTGGTGTGATGGCTGAGGTCTGGTTGTGGCAAAAAACGGTCACAAGGTTGAGGGGCAGGGCTTACGAAGGGCTCTATTGGTCAAGAATCGAGTCTGGGAAGGGAAGGAGAAGAAAAAGAAGAGGAGGAAGAAAAGGAAGTTGTAGGGTTCAGGGTGGGACCTAATAAGGGGTTCCCACATTAGGGACAGTTAGGGAAGAGTATTTTGTGTCTCCCAGTAGTCAACAAAGAAGGCCGAGCACCCACCCAAGCCTAAGAGCCTGGAGAGAGGAGCTGGTGCAAGGATGAAGGATGCGGATGGCAAGGATGAAGGAGGAGGAGAGGGGCCCTTGAATGTGAACCCCTTGGGGACAGGCCTTGAATGGGAAGGGAGAGGAGAGGCACAAGACCTCCCTTAGGACCCAGCTCCACCTCCTAGCAGCAACTCAGACTCGATTAAGTCACTACCTGCCTGCCTGAGCCTGGGTTTCCAGGGACAATCCAGACCACTCAGGGTGTAGTGGACAGACAGGGAGGTCCCCAGGCCCTGCCGAGTATGTTTCCTTGATTCAAACTGCTAGGGCAATGATTGAGAGCAGACAGACCTCCTCAGAAAACAGAAGCATCCTTCTCAGGAGGCAGATTAGGGCTTCTCCAGCTACAGGGGATTGGAGGTGGGTAGCACAGGGAGCGAGGCAGAGGGGAGGTGGTTCCTGGGTCTAGCAGCACCCCCAGAAGGGGCTCAGCTGGGAGGTACTTGAGAGAGGATGGCTGAATGGGGAAGGTAAAGAGGAGCCTGGGCTCTTGGAGGAAGGCTGATGTGACCGTCTCATTGGTGGAGCTAGTCCTTGCCCCCACCTGGAGGGATTTCCACGCGCTCTTCTGGCCTAGGCTGCTGACTCTCTGAGGTCTTTTCACCCGGTAGCTTCTTCAGAGCCTTAGGACATCAGATCACTTCAAGGGACCCTCTACAACTTCCCACCTTCAGCTTCTCCCAAGAGTTGTAAATGGCTGGAAGTTGACAGCCCTGCCCGACCCCGACCCCTCAGTTGGCTCCAGCTGTCCACAACCTTTACAAAAAAAAGCATCTCGAGAAACCAAACCCAGGAAGTTGGTACAGGAGCTGTGCCCCCACCCCCAGAAAAAAAATTTCCAGAGGATTCTGTGCAGCAGTTTCCATGGGAACATGTGCTTGTTATCAGTGATGCTTAGTGGGGCTAGAGTGTCCCTCACAGCCACCATCACAGGACTTTAGTGGGTGGGTGCAGCTGGGGGCATCGTTAGTTCTTTGGCCCTTAGCTCTCACTAACCTGAAATCGAGTTACAGGCAAAACCTGCCTCTTTCCCCCTCCTCCATCTAATTTAAAGGCCATGTTCCAGCCTAAGGATGCCTCTGGGACTTCAGGGATGGATTTTTATGTAGTTCAATAGTTTTCTTGGCACACAGCTCTTCCGGGAGAGGTGGGCCATTGCCTCGGCCCAGCCAAGCTGAGTGGCATCAATCTGTCCCTCCTAAATGCCTGGGGATGTCATTTGCCCACTGGAGGGGCTTCAGCCCTGAACGGAGACTCCAGCACTGGAGATGTCGACATGAGACTCTGTGAACCTTGCCGGCTCCTCCTTGAACCGTGGTTATAATTATGGCCCCCGAGCCTTGATTGAGCCCTGGCTAAGTGCTGCTTTCTGCGCTTGGCATTGAATTTTCGCTGTGAATACAAGCAGGTGTCGCAGACACAGAGTGTGGTAAAACATTTAAACTCCAGCAAGGTGAAGTTTGCTCTGATGCACCCGCCACCTCCCCGCTGCCATCAGAAGCCCCTCCCTAGAGATTGCAGCCAGGCTATTGGGAAGGCCTTTCTCTCTGGCTAATCACAGCCGTGTATTTGGATGGATGAAGTGCAGGGCGTTCGTGGGAGAGCTCTGAAGAGCTTGTGCCGTCGTTCTGTAGGTGTTTGCATTGGCTTGGCTCGCAAAGCCCCACGTGGGGATCTGCCCAAGACAGCGTGTGGATGCTGCCAGACTCTAATTACAGCGGAGGACTCACAGGACGGATGGCCCTAATTTAATCGGGGCCCCTATCAATGGCCTCTTCAGCTGTTTCCGATTTTTCAACCTCTGTGTAAGGTATTTCAGGGAACGTCCTCCACTCCACCACCTGGACTGCACTTGCTGAACCTTCTCTCTGTGGGAAATGATGGAAAGAGACCCCTGGGGGCTCCCAGTGGGAAGGGGTCTTCTTTCAACAGGCACTCTCAGGCATGGAGGTTGTACTGGTATTTTTGTCTCTGGACTTTTTTTTATCGGCAACACCTCATTCTGAAAACAGACCTGTAAGTGGGGTTGTGGTGTGGGCTGGGGTGGGATGTCTGATCTCTCTGGTTTACCAAAGCAGAAACCAGTGTTGAGAGAAGCTGATAGGACAAGCCCAGAAGAGAGAGGGCAACTCTGGGCTGGCTCCAAATGAGAGCAGGTCTCCATGGGTCAGGCCAAGGAGTGATGTCATGGGTAGGGATGGAATAGAAGATCTATCAAGGGACCTGACGCTGGGGAAGACCACTGAAAGCCCCTGCAGAGATGGTCCATACCTAAATTCTTTCCCTCCCTTCCTCTTTCCTGCTCTATGTGTTACGGGGAGCGGGACTACTCCTACCTCCCGGTGAACTACATCCTTGGTGACGTAGAGGCAGGTCACTGCAGGTCCCGGAGTTATATTTGTCTGGCAGCCTGTATCTGATAGCTTGGACATTGGGCTCCCAGGTGTCCCCTAGAAATCCCAGGCACAGCATGTCTGGAAGCATGAGCAGCCTCTCAGGAGCTTCCTAATCCAGGATAATGCGGCTGTAATTGGCACCGCTCTGCCTTTACAGCCCTCTCATTGACTGAAAACTTACTTTGCAAGTGGCTTATGTCTGCAGTGGGTTTTCTTTTACCACTCTGTGGGCCTTTGGGGGCCCAGCAGTCTTGCCTTTTGCTCTCTGGCCCGTCTCCTTCCCAGTCCTCAGGCTCTATGGACAAGATTCTGGCTAACCTCCTTGCCTTAGATGAGAACACAGCCGCTCTGCCATGGGCCTTAGATGACCTGGGGACTGCTTTTCTCCTCAGATCCCTGTCTTCTTTCCTCTGTCTCTTTAACCTCTTCTTCTTTAGACCTTCCCTGATTCTGCACCAAGTCACTCTTTCCGTAGCTCAAACCTGGCCATGTTAAGCTCATCGTCTGCATGAATCAAGTCATCTTCATGGTCAAATTCATTGTAACAAAGGAGACAAGTTCATTCAGTGCATTAGGGTGGCCTTTCCCACAAATGCTCCTGGGAGAAACAGGCATCAACATGGCCAAAGGTGACTCACAGTGTCACAATGGCCTCTGCTATGTGCAAGAATGGGGGCCTCTGTTCACTCATCTGTCTTTCAACATCTGTCAGATCCAAATCTGTTCCAGTCTCTCTGCTGCGAACGGGGTAAGAATAGGTGGTCCTGGGCTGGGAGAGAGCTTGTTTGGAAGAGCTCATGTCTAGGATGTACAAAGCTCCGGGTTTGATTCCCGGTACCATGACGACACATACCTAGCATCCCAGCACTCAGGAATTGAGCCAATGAGGAGGCTCAGGGAGTAAAGAGGCTTTCGAAGGCCAAGGCTGATGATGTGAATTTCCATCCTGAGACCCACATCATGGAAGGAGAAAAATAACCACTCACAACTGTTCTCTGACCTCCATACACGTGTTGGGGCATTCTCAGACATGACCGTGTTTGGGCACACACACAATAAGTATGATTTCAAAAATTTTAAAGAAACTCAAGGTCTTTTACTATGTACTGATTTCAAGGCCTGCCTAGCTTATATACAACCCTGCCAGGAAAAAAAAAATTGGTCCCAACAGATCAGCTGTCATTGACCTAAAGTCACTTCAAGCCTGACCCGTGGCTGCTGCTCAAATGTGCTCCAGTAGGCACCTTGGTGTTCCCCTCCACCCCCTGCCAAGGCCCCTCATCCCATTCTTGCTTGAAGAAGAGGATGCTCAGGTACCCTTTTCCCCTGAAGCTTTCCTAAGCCCCTCCCCCCACCAGGTGGTTTATTTGTTCTTCATCACCTCATATTAAATCAGTTCACACATACTCCTGTCTCCCCCCAGGAGGCCCTAAGCTTCCCAGCACAGAGAAACCTTGTTTGTGTCTCTTTGTCTGGACCCTGACTTATACTCAGGGCTCAAGACTCATTTGTTTAAAGAAAAAATGAATTCTTCCCTGCGCTTGCCTCTCAGTGCCTGTTCTTTCTGAAGAGGGAGAATGATGTTGTTGTTGTTGTTTTTCTCTCTCCAGTTTCCGGGAAGTGGAAATTGAATGCTTGAAATGTAACCCATTTTGTATATAGGAGAATTGAGATGGGCATGTTGGGGCATCTGCACCACCAGAAGAGTCCCCACAATAAATATACAGGGGTTCTGGAGGCCGTACCACCTGCCTGGTAGCTCTAGGTCCAGCTACCACGGGGGACAGGCCAGTAGCTGACAAGATGCTTTGGTGATATGAGCTGGCAGCCCAAATCAGGGGCCATGAGGCCTGTAAGTGCGGTTCTGCTAATTGCTCCCAGAAGCCCCTGTCACCGCCAGGGGCAGCCTCAGCCGGCTCAGCAATATTCTGATCACACTCTCATTTCACCGGATGGCCTCTCTTCCTGCCTGTAGGTGAGGTCAGGCACCCTTGGCAGAAAGGGTGTAGGATTCCCCAAGTTATCAGTCATACTGAGTCAAACCAGGGGTCAGAGGGTGGGGAGACTGGAGAAACCCCTCTGGAATCCCTTTGTTCATCCTAGAGTGGCTGAGTCCATGTGGGAGGCACAGAGCAGGATCCAGCCATGCCCCACCACCCTCCCGTAGAAGCCCCTCGGTCAGCTGCCTCTCTGGGCAGTAATCCGTGTACCATGGAAGAGCCAAGAGGACTCCTGGCTTCTCTGAGGAACAGCTGAACCCTATAGACACGGACTTGCTCCAGAGTCAGAGCACCAGATCCAAAAAGAAAAGTGGTAGACGTGGTCCTGGAATGTGGTTGCATTGGTTTGATCCCCAGCACTGCATAAACCAGGCGTGGTGGAAGATGAGACTGTAATGCCAGCGTGTGGGAGCTAGAGGCAGGAGAATCAGAAGTCGAAGCTACACACCGAGTTCAAAGCTAACCTAGGTACATGAGAGCTTGTTTCAAGATTTAAAAAAAAGCAAACAAACAAAAACCTAAAAGTTTACTGTGGCTATATAGTGTGATCCCAAGCCTTGCCTTAGCCCTGTGTGTCTGGTGCGGTAGATTACCTAAGTAAGGAAGCTGGGGTTGGGGCAGGGAGGGAAATGTCCTCTGCAGGCTGGTCTAGCCCAAAGGCTAAGTCACTGTCCCACACTGCAGAGTTCAGGCTGTCCTGTCTTCCTTCTAGGTTTAAATCCATAGAGACCTTTAGGGTGTTCCCTTCTATACTCCCCTGCTTTAGGGGATGCCTGGTGAGTATGGGATCTTTTTATAGGGTCAGGAGAATGTTCTAGACTCATCCAGTGGTAGTAGTTATACAGCCTGTGTTGTGAGATGAAGACCACTGAGTTGCACGCCTGGAAAGAATGAAGCTTCTGGTAAGTGAATAAGGCTTCAGCCCAATGACTTAAATCCGAACCTGTTTAGACGCAGTCTGTGTCTCCTGTCCATCACCCCCGGGACAGAATTTATACATGCATGCAAGGTGGGTGCACATTCCTCCCCTGACGCGGTTGCTACCCCTCTTCATTCCAGCCTGCTCTGCCTCACCCCCTCTTCTGTCCTTCCTCAGAAGGACCTCTCTCAGCCTCTACTCTGGTAGGAAGTTCTTTCTACCTCATGGTTAATTTGGTCATCAGGCAACAAGCACTGATCCCAGTTTGTGGGTGAGGAAACTAAGAGATAAAACAACTTACCCAAGGCAGTTTCACCAGTGGTTGTTGCAACTGAAGCCCCAGCATGGCTTCAGAACCCATGTCATGGACCACTTTGCTGAGTGACCTTCTGTATCCTCCCAGGATGTCCCCCTCCTAATCTTGGGAGCCTGTGATGTTCCTTACATAGCAGATGGGATTAAGTCTCTTGAGATGCAGTGACAACCCTGGATTTTGAGAGTCACAACTATCTTTATGAGAAAGATATATGGATTGATTATGGCGCAGGGAGAGGCTCCGTGCTGGGTCTGAGGACGGAGGGAGAGGCCATAGCCAGGGAGGGTGATTTAGAGGTGAAAGGGGCCTGAAATGGGTTCTCTTAATGCTCAAGAGAGAGTAGTGGAGCTGTGTGCACCACTTGGTTTCTTTGCATTGGTGGTGCTTTAGATTTCATCCCCAAACTATAAAAGAATGTGTGTTGCTATAAGTCACATTTGTGGTAATTGGTCACAACAGCCACAGAATGCAAATGTGCTTTCCCTTCCGGTTGAAGCTCATCAGCTGTTCCCATCCCACAGCGATGGCTTGCCTGGTTCTGCGACCTAGGGATGTTCCTACCGGCTCTGGCTTTGGAGCCCATCTCTGCCCTGCCTCTGCTCACTCTGACCCTGGGCCTCTTCTCTTCCTCCCTCCCTCACCAGTTGCTTCCAGACAGGCACCATCTCTGGAACATCACAGAGAAGGAAACTGAGACGTGACAAGGAACAGTTCCACGCCCAAGTTCCCCCAAGCAAAAGGCACTCAAGGAAGGAAGGCACTCCCACGGAAGCAGCCCCCTGGATGCCAACCCCAGCACCCATCTGAGTTCCTGAAGAGTTCGACACTCCCTGGAGGGCCTGGGCTTTAGGGAAACCTGAGAGCAAATTCCAAACCAATAAGAGCAAATAAATGAGGGGTGATTACTGACAATAGGAGAGGGGACACAGCGGGGTGCCTCCAAATAGCATCTCTTCCAGTGCGGTTTAAGTGCTTTATAGGTCATTAACTACTTGACAGCGAGAGCCTGACACTTAAAGCAACGAATTTGGTGCCTCTGCCAGGGAAAATCAATCAGAAATGAAGACGGAGCATCAGCAGCCTTAAGATGTACTGGGTGGGCAAACAGGGATTCGATTTGCACATAATTTTAAGGGCCGCTCCATTGTTGTAAATTGAGGCACACCGGCGTTTGAGGTCATTTATAAATCCGGAACTAGAGTTTAGAAATACGTAGCCTTCCCCTCGGTGAGTTCCCCGCTCCTCGTCAATGCAATATTTCAAAGATGCGGAAATGCAGAGACGAGCACAAGCATTAAGACTCACCGCCCGGCTGTATCAAATAAACATTTCGGCTATGGTGGAGGCATCCGCTTCAAAAACATACCCACTTGTTTTCCTTCCTGCCTTGCTGGCTCCACCTTCTCAGGGAGACAGACCTAAGCTGACCACCCATCCCTGCCCAAGACATCATTCCCACCTCTGAAACGGGAGTGCGATTACTGCCTCTTTAATTAACTTGGCGATTAATCACCAGCTGCTTGTGAAATGGCTTTAATTGTCCTTGTCCATCTTCAGTTGGGGTGGGGGTAGGGAGGAGGCGGTGTGTGTGTGGGGGGGGGAAGGATGGGCCAGTGTGTGTGGGGTGTGCTTCTCAAAGCACCACACTGCGCGCGCACACACTGCACACAATTGGTTGGAAGGTCTGAGAAGTCCTGGTATTTGGAGAACTGCCTCTCTTCTGGGCCCCGGGTAGGCAGAAGCCACCAGGTGCCAGGATCAAAAAGGAACTGAAGGTAAACTCAAGAGAGAGCAGTGGGCAGCTGGGAAGGGCATCTGCTCCCTGCAGCCTTGGAGCGTCCGCTCTTGCTGTTCATGGATCCAAAGCAGCCTGGTGGGTTGAAAGATAGACATGATCCTGGTTTGGAAATCAGGTCTTCGTAGATAGAACTGACCTAACATGAGGTTACACTGGGTTAGGGTGGGCCCTAAATCCAACCACTTGGTGTCCTTATAAGAAGGCCATGTGGAGGCACATACACAAGAACTCATTCATCAGTCACCAAGCCAGCCTTTCTGCATGCCCGACTCTGGCTTCACACTGTACAGGAAACAGGCTCCCCCGGAGCAGTTTTCTGGTCCATTAACCCACCACGATCCAACTCCAGGAGCAGCGCCTACGCCTACACACTCCTTTGTCGGGGAAGCCCTTTCCCAGTCTCTTCTCAGAAACCACTCCTGGATCAGAAAGACCTTTTAGGGTTTCTCCGAGGACATCACCAAAGGTCAGCACCCAGGCTCAAGTCACCTTGTCCAGGGTTTGATCTTTCTTGTGGCTTCCCCTTGGCACACAGGCCCCATGCCCAAGCTGTCAGAGATTGACAATGCAGACTGGGTTGAGTAGGTAAGTTCCCACGGAGGAAAAGGGCGCAGCAGTTTCTAGGATGTTAGCATGGAAGCAAGGAGTTACATCATTTGGCTGCCAAGCACAGCGCTAGGGACAGAGCATTCCTTGAAATAGCTCATAGTGTAACCCAGTTCCTGCTCCAGTCCAGCCCTCGACACACGAGAAAGCCGGTGCTGATACCCCACAAGGCATTGCTGTCTACAAAGCTAGAGACGACATATAACCCTGTGTGTAACCACAGTCAGCCCTGTCACTTCCTCTCGGGCGACTGCATTTCTCTGTACCTCCGTTTCCCCTTAAGACTGTTACCCGCACTAAAGATAGCTCCAAAAACTCACGTGTACATTGTCTGTTAATGTAATCAACAAACGTGTTTGGCACACCTACTATGAGGCAGGCACTGGGGATACACTACTGGGCAGTAGAAACCTCGAGTCCTGACCTCAAAGGACCATTTGGTGGGGAAGGACAAAGAAATGCAGTTGTCATTCGGGGCGGGATTAAGCGTTATGATTGGGAGCACGGAGGCAGAGAGAGGAAAGGGCTGCAGAGTTCAGGAGGGACCCACAGAGCAGCGGCCGCCTCAGGGAAGAAAAAGGCGAAGAATAAAATCTACACACCACCACCACCTCTGAGCCTTCTTCGTCTCAGCCAATTAGGCATCAGCTTCGCGGGCGGGCCGACCAATCATGAGCTGGAACCAGAGCCTTGGTCGCAGGCCACGGTTTCCTGGCGGAGGGAGGTCTGGGCTGGAGAGTCCGCCTCGCCCGCCCAGGCCACGCCTTCTCTCCGCCTAGGGCCACGCCCCCCGCGGCCAGCTGCGTCTGCTTGGAGTTCCCGGCCAGCGGTCTTTGGGGCCGAGTATTGTCCTAAAAGCCAAAAACAAAAAATTTAAATAAAAAAAAATCTGGAGAAGGAAGGGACTTAGGGCAAGCAACCACGTGGCTTCAGGATTATAACAAGATTTCCTTTCGCCCATGACAAGATTGCAAAATGTGTGAACCAGACCGCACAGCCAGGACGGGACTGTAAGCACGCGGGCAAGGTAAGCACTGGGATGAGGCACCGGGTGAGCCTTGAGGGCATCGCTCAGGTGCTGGGCGGTGTAGACCCGGAGACTGCCACAGCGGTGTAGACACAACCGACCCAAGGGCCCCCGAGGCGGTGTAGAGGAGCACAGGTGGTGCGGAGGAGGCGCCGGGGAGATCTGGAACTGGGCCACACTGATCCCGAAGGCTGAGGTCTGCAGTGGCTGGAGAGTGTGTGAATATGCGGACCTGGGACTCAGGGGACCTCCAGCGACCCGGGAGCAGGAGAGGCTGTGGATGCGCGCTGGTGGTTTGTAGCGCCGCAGAGACGCTGGCAGGTGTAGATGCCGCTGGAAAGTTTGCTGGAGTGCACTGAGCAGCTCGCGGCTGGGAAGGGGCGGCTCGTACACACGAGCGCAGGCTCTCTCTCCATCACGGCCCAACTAGCCTTGCCCTAGCGAGGACAACTTGTGTGGGAAGGAGCCCTAAACTTCAGGTTCACCAGTCCCTTTTTCCCCCAGGGCTGCAAGACTGGGATAGGAGACGCGTTGATGCCACCGATCTGCCCTTTGGTGCATGTCGGCAGCATCCTAAGTGTCTCCGTCTCTCCTGTGAGGAAATCTGAGGGCAAAGATGATAAGTTGGTGTCCCATCACACTCTGTGAATCGAAAGACAGGACCAACACCATGTGTTCTGGCTGCTTTTCTCTTTCTACCCAGCTTCAGTGAGGAGAAACGGCCAGGCTTTTTTTGGGGGGGGGGAGATGTAGACAAGACAGGGGGTTGGCGTTTGGTTGGGACTGCTGGCGTTTGCTTGTCATGCCTCTGTCACTCCAGGTGGTCCTGTAGCCTGGATAAAGGGAAGAATGGAGGGGGGAAACTAGTGGCCGAGAGTTCTGGCAGGGACCGCTAATGTTTATCATATTCTTTTTCAAAGGTGTCAAGCCTGGGGCAAACCAAATGGGGCAGGGGATTAGTGACACTCTCCTTTAAGGGAAGAAAGGCACTTTGATAGGGCGGGGACGGAAGGGAGCCTGCTGGAGAGGAGATACCGACTTGTCTAGGGTGATTTGCCAGGGAGGCTCAGGCCCATTTTCTGTCACCTTCTTCTGAACCCTTTGTCTCTATGGACCTTTGCATGTAGTGTTTATTCTTCTTTCAAAAAAGATTTATTGCCAGGTGTGGTGACATACATCTTTAATACCAGCTTACCAGCTTTCAAGAGACAGAGGCAGGCAGATCTCTGTGAATTTGAGGGCAGCCTAGTTAGTTCAGGTCTGCTAAGTTAGTTCCAGGATAGCTATGGTTACATAGGGAGATTATGGCTCAAAAACCATTATATATTGTTTTAGTTTATGTGTTTGTATGTGTGTGTATGCACATGACTTTATGAATTTATGTGCACTGTGTGCAAGCAGGTGATCATAGAGGTCAGAGGGCATTAGATCCCCTATAATGGGAGTTATAGGAAATTGTGAGCTACTTGATGTGGGTGCTGGGAACCTAGGCCACCTTCCCCTCCTCCTCCTCTTCTTCTCCCTTGCTGGGATTGAACTCAGGTCCTTGGGTTTGGCTGCAAACATTTTTACCTGCTGAGCCGTTCTGACAGCCCTGTTTATTCTGTTGATTAAAACGAAACATCTACCATGAGCTAGACATGGGCAATGGAGCAGTGACACCACATAGATCTAGTCCCATTCCTCACATGGATTCCAGACCCGTGCAGAGACACAATGACAAACAAGACACAGTCACAGGCAGGGAGGGAATGAGACCCAGGGAAGGTGGGGGCAGCTTTGGGTGGGTGTCAAAGAGAACCTCTCAGAAGACCTACCAGTAAGAGGTGTCATGCTCCTCATCTATCCTAGGCCCCAGGACCATTGTCACCACCTCCAGGAAGGCTTCTCTGACTTGACAGTTCATGCTGAGAGACTCCTGTAATCTGGGATGACTCCCCATATAGACGATGGGGTTAATGTTGGTCGTCACCATTCAGCAGAAGTGGGGTGATGGAATAAGCCAAATCTCTACTGGATGGAAACAAAGTGGCAAGTGAGCAGCTAAACTTTCCCATAGGAAAATGGAGCTGTTTAGCCAGACTGGGCATGCAGGAATCTGTTTCCTTTCTCCTTTCCCCTGGCTGAAGGCCTGGGCTTCAGAACCACCCCACATCATGTTCACAGAAACAAAGTAAAAGAAGCCAGCCCTGTGTCAGCCTTAGTGATGCTGGCGAGGGAAACAGCAGGGAGGCGCAGGCACAGGTTGCCCACAGACACAGGGCTGAGGCACCTCACAGGGGAGGTCCAGGAGAGCTCCTGTCCCAGCCCCTGGGCTCAGACTGGCCTCTCTTCTTCTTCTTCTTCTTCTGCTTCTTCTTCTTCTTCTTCTTCTTCTTCTTCTTCTTCTTCTTCTTCTTCTTCTTCTTCTTCTTCTTCTTCTTCTTCTTCTTTTCTTCTTCTTCTTTGTTTTTCGAGACAGGGTTTCTCTGTGGTTTTGGAGCCTGTCCTGGAACTAGCTCTGTAGACCAGGCTGGTCTCGAATTCACGGAGATCCGCCTGCCTCTGCCTCCCGAGTGCTGGGATTAAAGGCGTGCACCACCATTGCCCGGTTTCTGCTCCTGCTTCTTGCGTGCAGTTTTCTTTAGCACTACTCTGAGAGAAGGTAGTGGCAGGCGAGCCCCCCAGATGTCTAGGTTACTGGGCCACAATGACTAGATCTCACTCCCATCTTGTGGACAGGAATCTGAACAGTTCCTTTTGCCCAGAATCAGATCCCTGGCTAGGGCTGCCTAAGCGACTCATAGATCACTGAAACTCTTGGCTGGAAAGTAGGACTCCCGCTTAGAAGAACTGGCTGTAATTTGATTTTTCACGGCTCCTATGCCCAGCCGACCTGTACTCCTGGCACCTTCCCCATAGCAGGTTGTCCTATTCTTGCAGATGCCCGATGAGGCTTTTATGGGCTCTCCCTCCAGCTCACCCCACTTTAGGAGTTTGAGCAGGCACACATGGCTAGAGAGCCCATCAACATACTTTATTCAGGCTCTGCCAGGGACAAAATCAAAGCAGGCTCTCCCTCCCTCCTCCCCGGCCAGTCAACCCTCCTGCCTGAATTAGCTTTTTAAAAAAATTAATTTGCAGTGATTTTACTCCCTTCTGTTCTGTGGGGACACCAGCATTTTAAACGTGTACTGAAATCACATTCACTGCTCCCAGCTAATCCTCAGCTACCTCCTCTTGCCCTGCAGCAAGCACTGGATTCAGTTCAGGCCAAGTTCTGTTAATGAGGAGCTGTGTAACCTTGGGCAAATGACTTAACCTCTCTCTGCTCCTCTATTGGTTCTTGTAGACGCGGAGGTTAATGGTACTCCCCCTCCCCCTCAAAAGCTGTTGTGGGGATTAAATTAGATAGCATTCAAGAAGAGCTGTGTAGTGGCAGACCTGTGGTTTCTCTCCTTCAGTACTGGCTGTCCCCTTAATTAGCCGGGTGACCTTGGGCAGGCCACTAACTTCCATTTTCTCCTCTGCAAAACACACGGGCTGTTATAGATGGGTGCACAGCTCCCACCCCTATCCCCGAGCCCCGACTCGCTGTCCCCTCGGCCACCCCTTTGGCTTGTCATCTGAGGACTCTGGTTTAATTGGAGTTGTGTCCCTCCACAGCTGCCTGTCCTCAGCTTCTCTGTGAAAGTCCCTGGGCCGTGGCCCTGAGGGGCCTGGAGTTCCTGGCTCATTTACACAGTCAATTAACTGTGATGTCACAGGCCTGGGAGGTGGCCTCAGTGGGGCACGTGGCCAGGCCACCAGGAGGCCGTGACCTGCCCTGTCTGGGGCCCAAGGGGTCCCCACTGCCGTGGCGGGGAAGCAGTTTCCTTGGCTAAGCTGATTCCATTCCCATATTTTATGACTCCTGGAAGCCCTAGTTTGAGTGTAAATTAGTTCTACCCTGTGCTTTTGTTGGCAACTGTCGGTGCCTTGAAAGCAAGGGCTTTGTCAGGAGGAACAAAGCTGTTGGTGCGTTTTTCTGATTTGGGGGAGGTGTGCTCCTGGGGGAGGCTCCTCTCTACTCCGTGTCAGCCCGAGTCCTTGTTCGCAGCCTCACTGGTTTTGTTTGGGGTTTGAAGTCACATATGGTGTGTGTGTGTGTGTGTGTGTGTGTGTGTGTTGGCTGAGGGATTTCCCCCCTCCTCTTGGCTTACACAGTGTACTCTCTGGGAGCTAATTCCAAGGACTGAACTTTTCAAATCACAGCTTCAACAGCTTTTAAAAACCTGGACCTGGTTACCCTTATCATCCATGTGTAAAGATTTTGAAGAAAAAAAAAAATTCCACCCCTGAGAGTGGGTGATGGGAGGATACAGGATGCTCACTCCTGGCAGTGAGAAGTCGCTGCTGACTGGAGGTCAAAGACAAAATGCCGAGGGCCTCCCAGGAGGAGGGTACATGGTCTGTTCCTTGCCAGACATCTGGATATTGAAAAAACATCTGGGTGGCTGGGCTTTTCAGGTTCTGCCTGACATTTAATATCACAAACATTGAGCTTGCCTCCCTTCTCTCCCCCCAGCCAGGCTCCTCCAAACACACCATCCCTCCCATCCCCCACTCCCACTCCCCTTCTTGACGGGTAAAAAACATCCATTCTTTCCAATTCCCCAGTGTTTTCTCCCTACCGGAAATCTGATGGGCTTATGACATCATGGCTGGCTGCTGAGCGATGGAGAGGATGCCACAAAGAAATCCGACATATCCGATGGATTCAGAAATCACTTTCCCTCCTGCGGCTGGAGGAACAGGCGTGTACAGGCAGGAGAATCTGAGCTTTGTTTGAAAAATTATTCTGGAAAAAGAAAAAAATAAAACAACCCACAACCCCCAAACAAAAAACAACCAAACCCCAAGTCTTGCCCGACATTAAAGGCAATTTTCTTAAAGACAAGCAAAGCGTCTGGCCATCGTCCTCTTTTAATAAAAAATGCTGAGTTTTATGAGACACGGTGGCTAATAAATTGGGCCCACAGCCTCCTGTGAGTTTTTGTTGACTGTGTGTCCTGGTTCACCAATAAAGGGGCAACTAGGAACGCCTTCTCTCTCTTCCTTATTAAAATGAGATTTTTTTTTCCCTAAGGGCGATAAAATTCACAAAGTAAACAACTGGTTTATGTTTTCCTAGGAATCCATTTTTATGGAGTGGCCTTGGACCTGCCCCCATCTGCAAACTCTGTAGTTCCCTCTGCTGGGTTTCCTGGCCCTGGATCCCTGAGAAGGTCATGGGTCTGCTTTACTGTCCCAGCTGGACTCAGGGGGAGAACAATGGGTCAGCAGGATAGGACCTATGGCAGGCTACGAAATGAGAGTCAGGAGAACAGAGGTAGAGGGACCTGGGATTGGAGTCTGAGGGTCCATTGTCTTCCCCTTCCAAAGGGAGGAAAAAGCAGAAAAAGGTCCAGGCTGAGGGGTCCAGGAATGTACCTGACCCCCTAAAGCAGGCTCAGATTAAGGAAGTTCAGGAGAGTGTACGGTGCCCGGCAAGTCCCCAGCTCAGGTTTTTTGACATCCTGGATTGGTATCTCAGATGAGGACAAGCTTTGGGGTCTAGGGTAAATGTTTCTCCCTCCTGGTTTCGTTCTCTGTAAGCAGAGTTGGGGGGTAGATGCATTGACCCTGCTCTGCCAGCTGGAATAGTCTCAGTACTTGCTGCCTGGCAGGGGGACCAGCCACTCTCATGGGCAGAGACCAGGCTCAGCTAAAGAGGCCAATGTAGATTTTAGAGACAGGTCTACTGTCTGGGCTTTCGTCCCGGCTCTGCCTCCTGCTAGCTACACGATTCTGTGGATCTGTGCCTCATTTGCCTCCTTTGCCAAATCCAGATAGTAATAGGACCCACCTCAGTCCTGGGAGTGCTGGGAACGTGACGTCAGAGGCCGGGGAGGTGGCTCAGCAGTCCTGACTTGTTCCCTGGAGCCAGCAGGCACTCAGTAGGCCTGGACTGGAAAAGTCCTGACCTCTCTTCTCTGTGTCAAGAACCTCCCGTCGCTCCCATTGCTCACAGTGAATAAACTCCCCATCACTAGCTGGGCTTCCAGGTGCTGGTCCCAGCTGGGCTGTGTGTGCCCCACCCCCACCCCCGCGTCTCCCCTGCGCGGTAGTCCTGCTGCGGGGTCTTCCTGCTCCCGTCTCACCCCCTGGAGCCAGTTCTTCACGCGGTCACCAAAGCTTAAGGCGGAGATTCCACTCTTCTGCCCAGAGCCTGTTCTGGTTCTGACTTTCTCAAGGTCGGAGTAAAGTTCTGCCTGCGGCTTGTTGCCACCCCCCACCCCCACCTGATCCTGCCTGTGGCCCTTGAGTCTTCTCACCTCAGGACTTTTGCTCTTCCCCTTCTTTCTCCCCAGGACACTTCCCTCTGATTGTCACCGTTCTCTCTTTTACTTCCTCAGAGCTCTAACCACAGAGAGACCCTCCCAGCTACCCCTCCCCGTCCCTTTCTGCTCCAACACTCTTTATAGCACTCATTAGCACTTGACCTCCCTATGCAATAGTGTACTCGTGACTCCAGGGTGCGAGCATCAGCGCAGGGCTGTTTTCTCACTGCTGTGTCCTGGGTCCCAGACACAGGGCTCCATAAATATGACTTTTTAAAAAAGTTACTGCTGCCTGGGGATAGGGGTTTTATACCTTTAATCCCATCACTTGGGAGGCAGAGGCTCGAAGATCTCTGTGAGTTCAAGGCCAACCTGGTCTACACAGTGAGTTCCGGGATAGTTCCAGAATAGTGAGGGCTATAGAGACCCTGACTCAAATATATA